TCGTGCATGTATAGCATATTTGACGAATAAAGCTGACTTTGACTTTGACTTAAGTTAGCTAGATAATGTTAGCAAAACACTAGCTAAGTAGCTAGCTGATGTTTTTTGTTGCAAAAATAGTAACAAACTAATAAACATTATAAATATAGATAACTAGCTAAACTACATCTATTGTTAGCTAGCTAGTTAACAAATCACTAGCTTTATTTAGCTAATAGGTTACTTTTAGCTTTTAACCATCTTCAAAATGTGGTTGTCGTTTCAACATTGATTAGCCTAGCATATAGCATATCTAAGTACAGGAAAGGAGAAAGTTGACAGAGGCTTGCTCAACTGTTATTGGTGCACAGAGCAAAAAGGGGCAAAACTAAGGAAGGGTCAGTTCTCCAATAACTGATGACACTGGTGAGAAACTGTTTCAGTGGATTCACTATGAATAGAAGTAGGGCCAGGGTCCTTCACACTCTTAATCGTCACTAATTAATGTTTTGAATTGAATGTTACAGTATCCTTTTTAATTCTGTCAGCTTCCTGTCTTATAGGAGAGACAGTTGGGTGTTAGCAGAAGAGAAGAAAGTCAGCAACACACTGATATGAACTTCTTGACAAGAGCGAGATCGGAGCTGACCCCAGAGAGCTTCAGCCTCTCTCACAATGACATCTCCTCTCCCTCGTCCTCTAGAGAAGAGCTTGGCTCGCCCCTGGCTGTCTCAGAGCTCAGGACCACGCTGTGCCGGGAAGAACCCACCTTTAGATCACCTTCCCCTGGATGCAGATCAGCTCAGCGGAGCCTCTCGAGCTCCATCCTGGAGGTCCAAAGACTGAACCCTCCTTTGAGGCCACGACTGACCTCCACTGTCCTGTATCCTACCTACACCCCTCGCTCAGGGTACTCTAGGACAGGCCAGATGCAGTTCAGGCTCGGAGGGAGGGAGAGGGGAGGTGGGGGAGAGAAAAAAACATGCTCTTCTGGAGGACACTCAGTGTCTCCCTATCAGGCGAACCACTGGGCCTGTGCCATCCCTAAATCTTTGCCTCCATCTCCAGACAGACACTCTGCAGGCTGGGACCCAAACAGGGAGTACCAAGACCTGCTGGATTACACCTACCCTCTGAGACCGGGACAGGTGGTCACTGAGTGGGGCAGCTCCGAGCTCCAGAGAGAGTCTCTCCTCCAAACAGATCCAAACTTGCAGGACTCAGGGATCGAACTGGACCACATTTGTAGCTCCACCAGCCTGTCAGGGTTGGGCTTTACTGTGAGTGGCACGGGGCAGACCAGAGAACGAAGCACTCTTAGCGCGGGTCATAGGTCACCTAACCTGCAGGCATTCTCTAAATCCTCAGATGGTCTTCCCTCCAGTACCCAGCTCTCCTTAACAGACCCTGTGGGTTTGTCCTTGGACAGTCTAGACTCCAGTAAGGACAGAGGTGGAATGAATCATTACAAGAGCGATGGTCACCATTATCAGCGCCATGCACTGTCCTCCTCCACCTCCACTGCTTACATTCGCTCCACCAGTGTTCTTCCACTGTCCAGGTGTGTGTGTGGGGAGGTGGACGAGGAGTTCTGGCCTCTTCCGGAGCAGCTGGAGGAGCTGCAGCTGCTGTCCAGACAGGTCAGTGCTGTGGACACGCATGGACCTTTACTCAAGGACCACATTTTTTAAAGAGTATGTTTTTAAAATGTATTCATTCCACCTGCACAGACTTAAAGGTCCAGTGTGTAACATTTAGGAGGACAGAACAGACGAACCAAACCTGTTGCATTTTTGGCAATTTTCACATCCACCATAGTTTCTCATACATGCTTGGTTATTCAGTTGGTTGCAGTCAGCAACTTCTGTGTTCGATGCTACTAAATTCTACACACTGGTCCTTTGAAAATTGGTTAAAGTAGCTTTTGGAACACTGATTGCCTTCAGGTAAAAGCACTGCTGTGTGATGCTACAATTATGAGAAGGGATTGTTATCCAAACTCTCTTTGATGGTGCATTCAGAGACCCCTCAACATCCTAGAATTGTCAGCTTCCAAAAGTTATTAGCTTTGTATCAGAGCTGCGAGTAAAGTCAAATATTAGAAGATTTGTTCTAAAAAAACAAAAATAAAAATACTACCACTATGCTGTAATGTGGTGTGGTCTGGTTAGATCAGGTTAGAGAACAGTTACATTTATAGATTGCTTTTGAATAAAACACAGAATATTCAAAACATTTTAAATATGTGCATGTTGAGTGTAAATTCAGTCATCATCATCACATAGAATACATTTTTATTTATTTAATTTTATTTGAGTCTACCATTTTTGCTTGATTGACAAGTTTTTGTTAATTCTAGTGAGGCTACACAGAGGCAGTTGTTTCAATTGATCGAATGATTAATCAGTCATACACACAGGCTGCAAACTGCCGTCTAGAGAAAAGGAATATGTTGTTGGTTTTGCTCTGTGGTGTGATGTGTATATGTTGACATGCTAATGCTCTTTATTTCTTAGCCTAAAAGTGTTCAGATTTAATAGGTCTGTCATGTAGCATCACCATCATATACTGTCTGTTGTGGTTTATTTTTGAATTCCTACTCATGATATTAATACAGATACATGTCCTATTGGGCATACAGCAACAGGGACTGCCATAAACGTCTTGTATGTTTATATCGGCTCAGTTGTAGGGCTGTGTGTAGGCAACAATCTGGCGATGTGATGCGTATCACAATACAGGGGTTACGACTCGGTTTATTGCAATATATTGCAATACTGTAAACGAGGCGATATATTGCAATTTAAAAAAAAATGTAATCTTAGGAAAACTGTCATGTATAGAGAACACACCACTATGTGCATAAAATATCTATATGCAAAAAAGTTTACTTTCTTTATGCACCCAGAACAGTGGGATCTGCATTTGTATTTATCCTTGTAACATCCAACATCATAGCCCTCAGTTTACAACACTGCTATCTAACGGTTGGGGGTTTAAACACAAAAATATCTTACAACAAAATATTGCAATACTCAAGTGTATTGATATTTTCTTAGGGTGTAAGAATCGTAACCCCTATATCGTGATACATATCGTATCACCAGAGTTTTGCTAATACACAGCCCAGTAGTAAATGGATGATGACAACTCTGAAACATAAAAGGCTGCAAACCTGGGTCATGTGGACTTTTTAAACACAGGTACACTTCATCATCAAACGTTTCCGATGGTGGAAGGACAAACAGCCGCAGTAGAGCAGTGTTATTCAGCTCTAATGCTCAGCAGTAGTAGTACTAGTCTGTGTTCCGTCAGCTAAACACTGAAAGTATTTGTGCGCAGGTGCGGGAAGTGACGGCCCAGCTGAGCCAGCCTGTCACAGCCAGCTGGGAGTCTCTGGGGCCAGGCACCACCTCCATCCTGTCCTCCATCACCCTGCCTGACAAACAAGAGGCTGAAGCAAAAGAGCCGCAGGCACACAGACACACAGACGAAGGAAAAGATGAGACGGGCAGAGAGGGGATCAGTGCTGCTCAGACGGGTATTTAAGTTTTTACTGGATGTTCATATACTGGGCCTATATGCTCTTAAAGGGTCAGTTCACCCAAATTACAAAATCACCTCCTCTCTGGTGGTAGCTCTCCATGGGGATTGTTTTGGATTTGGACATTTGGAGAAATCGGTCACTAAGATTTCTGCCTCCACTCCAAGACAATGGAAATTAGTTTGTGGTACTTACAGTACTGACAAAATTACAGAAAAAAAAATCCAAAATCCATTTCCTGTCCATCAGCAGCTGATCACTCTGACGCAGTGAGGAGAAGTTCTAGAGCCTGGGTAGAGCCCATTGGAGGGGGACTGAGTCGGTCCAGTCTCAGGGAGGTGGAGGCCTTGGTGGAGCAGCTGTGTGGCCTCACCCTGCCTGGCAGCCGTAGGAGCAGCCAGGAGAACCAGGAGCAAAGTGACTCCCTGATGAAGCACATCCAGGTAGAGACATGATCGGATCTGCTATACAGGAGTCTGACTCTATGTCTGAGTGCAACATACAGTCTTTTGACTATATTTGAAATCTAAAATCTGCAGAGTTTCATTTTTGATGCACAGTCTGGCGTATTTGTCTGCAGGTCTTCTGTTCACATCTGGAGCTGCTCATCCAGCGGCTGTACGCGGTATCAGAGAAGATGGAGCTGCTGGCCGCACCCACTGTGGACATCGACAGCGTGAGGTCGTCTCTGGCTGAGTATCAGGTGAGGGCAGAGTCTCAGGGCCCTGTAGTACTCCACGGTGTGTCTGTTTCTACCACAGTGGGTGTCTGGGTAGGTGGATACAGGTTTGTGAGTGAGAGGATTTCAGGTTAACTGGAAGAAACTTGGCTCATTCCTATTTGCCAGGAACTGCTGGGTCTTTACTTGGTCTTGAATCCTTAACATGGACTGCAGGTAGGCATGGGACGACGAAAATAATGATATGATAACGATGACGATATTATCTCGATAACAAACACAGAACAAATAACTTCCAACTTCATTAAAACAAATACTGCTGGACTTATAAGATGGATGACGTATGACATTAACAGTTACTTACAAATTAAAAATTCCTCTGTTTGGATCCGTTTATCTGACTAATAAAAGGGGGTCGACTAAGATTCCTCTCAGCGACTAAGTCGACTATGAGGGGGCAGCCCTAAAGGGAAGTACCTGTAGTTTTAGATTTCTGGTGTCCTCTTTGGCTCTGCGTGGGTCCACAAGGTCCATGCACTTTATTATTTATTAGATACAAAGATGAAAATAAATAATAAAAACACCCAGTTATTTTCCCCTTTTTATATGTCTGCATACACAGAAAAACTAAATATTGATTCTTTTTTATTTTTTGGTTTGTTATCCAGACTTCCATAGAACCTAAAGCTATGAAATAATTTGCATAGGACTTATTATTTTATGTATAATGTATCATCTGTAATTAAAATATTGGAATAATTCATGATAATATAAACATTAGATACATTCATAATTGAATGGCCCTGATAATTATCGTGCATCCCTAGTTCGTTTAGTACTTAGATTGTTTCATTGCTGTGTTTCTATGCTATGTGTTCTTTGCTTTTATGTAAAGCACTTTGTAACTTTGTTTTATAATAAATAACAAGTAAATAAAGATATTATTATACATTATTATTCTGTTCTGCTGACAGTAATATGTGACGGTCTTCTTGCCAGAGTTTTCAGAGAGAGGTGAGCAGCCATCAGCCCCTGACCTCCTCTGTTCTGCACAGCGGACAGCTCCTCCTCAGCTGCCTCAACACCACGTCTCCATGTCAGTCTTTAACATGCATCATGAACAAAAATACTGAAATGAAAACTCCCAACACTCATCTCATAATTTTCCTACTGAATCGTTTTCTCTCCTTGTTTGCAGTCTTAAGAGATGCCCTGCTGTTGATTGAGAGGCAGTCTGGAGCTCTGGAGACACACACCAAACACTTCTTCTCCTCCATCCTGTCTGCCATGGACAGCCTGACCCAGCCCAGTCTAGTCCAGCAGAGCAGAGAGGAGGACCTGGGCCCTGTGGGCTTCCAGGGGTCCACTGTATGAACTGTCTGCAGGACGCATCTGTGTACAAGCATATGGTTTCTCTCACTTATTTATTAGTTTTCTTCCAAACAATTAATACAAGGTTTTTTGTCTGTTTGTAATGGAGAGCAAGATTTTCAGAGTTTGCAAAGAACTTCCATGAAAACATTCAGGACCAATTTAAACTGATCACATTGAATAATACAGGACCTCGAAGTGCTCCTAAAACCCTTTTCTATATTGTCTTAATATTGCACTGCTTTTTCTACTCATACAGACTTAACCCTCTTCGGGTCAGGCTTTCTATCACTTGTAATGTTTAATGTTGAGTCTCAGTCCGACCTGAAAAGAAGTTACAGAGTGCTGCAGGAATGAGTCCTTTTGGTTAGATGTCTGGAACTGAGGTTTGTGGTTGAACAAGCAAGACATAAATAGGATTGCTCGAGTCTTGGTGGGGTGGGCTACCATATAAGGACATTTATCAGCAAGTACCCCACCTGGTGAATGCTGAATCGTTTACGTTCCTTAAAAGTGTCTTAATGAGAGTAGAGAGGTTGTCTGTGACATTAAAACACAGAGACTGATCTACTCATTAGTCCGCCTTTACAGCCTCGCTACAGCTCTTGTAAACTATTCTAACTCAAACTTTACAACTCGTAGATTTCATTACAAGTTGGAACTTTAGTGCTGGTGAAGTAGCGTAGTTCATTTATGGCCTAATGTTAGCGGTTTCCTTTTGCCGATCATCAATTATAAAAGTGGTGTTCATTATTGAAGATGATCTTGCTAAACAAAACAAAAGTAAGTATCATAAATCATTGTTTACCACAGTAAATAATCCAAAATAAAGTGGAGAAATCCCATTGGCTCTGTGTCGAAGGAACAGGGTGTTGCTTAATACGTCATCCCTGCAGCACTCTATAGAGTCCACAGAGCAGCATCTAGAACATGTAGGCAGAAACTGTGTGTGTGCAATAGGAATAACAAAAAAGGAACATTTCAAAGCCTTTTTAACATTCATTTTGTGATTAAATCATTGATTCATCATTCCAGGGTGTAACATTAAGAAGATCTATTTTTAAAATTTTGTACAATAACCTGAATATAGGAATTGTTGTGTTTTCATTACCTTAGAATGAGCCGTTTTTATCTACTGCCATCTTCCATGGAGTCCGCCA